GTTTATTAGTAGGAAAAGGTATGTGTGAATAGACTCACATGGCTAGACTCAGATAGAGCTGCACCCTCAGGGTGGTTTGAATCACTTATAGGGGGCATTCCTGCCAGGTTTCCTTTGGCCAGTCATCTAGCTTTGCCTGATTCTGAGTCCGTATTTGGTTTATCTTGGGGTCTTCTCCTGTGTGTGCGCATCTCTTAGCCAAAATGGATTCCAGAGAAGAGGCCTTACGGATAGGTTGACATCACCTACTATGGCATGATGCCTCTTTCTTTTTTGACCTCCAAGGAGTCTTTCTGCACATGTATAGTTGGGAAGGTCTCCTTTATTTTGAAAATGAGGAATACGCGGTCTCTGTACTATCTTATCTGGGCAGGGCTCAGTTTCTCTTCCCTCCGGTGCCCCAACAGGGGACAAACTCCAGTTGCTTAAGCCTGGGCCCATCTATCTCCTGCCTCAGAAGCCATAGGGTGAAGGGGGTAAGTCCAAGGTCACACTGCTAATTAGACAAGAATGTGAGACAGGCTTCCCTCCCTGGAGATCTTAGGGGCTATGTAACTTGGAGTCTCCTATTGGAATGCTATCTGGGAAGGACAGCACACTGAGCTATTACCATATTCATATTTTAGTACAATTATTTTTATCAAATATTCTAAACAGTTACCTGACACAGGTCTAAGAAACTAGACACAGTAAATACTGAAGGCAGTAGAAATATGGCAAAAAATAAACAGGAGCAGTAAGCAGGGCTTCCCTGGTGGCTCAGATGGTAAAGAATCTGCCTGCAACGCAGGAGACCCGGGTTCGATCTCTGGGTCAGGAAGATCCCCTGGAGAAGGGAATGGCTGCCCACTCCAGTATTCTTTCCTGGAGAATTCCATGGACAGAGGAGCCTGGCAGGCTGCAATCCTTAGGGTCGCAAAGAGTTGGACACGACTGAGCAACTAACACTTTCACTTTTTCACTTTCAAGCAGGTAAAGCAACCCAGAAGAGAAACTCTACTACACAATTTTGCCTAGGGCTATTTCCTCTAAAAGCAATTTCCTCTGTTAAAAAAAAAAAAAAAAATTAGTTTTATCTAGGGTAAGGAATGCTAGGTACGCATAGGAAAATTCCAGAGCTTACACCACTAACCAAAGTCACTACCTTAAGAGCAGGAGGAAGGTGCAGCTGCATGGAGGTTTCTGTTTTCCAGTCCACAAGAAGGGTGTTGTTCAGATACAGTGAAAGAGAATCAATTATATGTGATTACAGAAAAGTATCTCATGACTATACTTAACAGTTAAAGTCAGGCCTCCAAGATGCTCACCATGTTTTAGGCTCCTGGCCTGGGGGGATGTGGAGAGAGGAGGGGGATGGGGACACAAGGAAAAGGTAGAAAAAGAAAAAGCTCCCCTCTCTGGCGGTCAGAAAAGTAAAGAGACAGAAGCAGAGGAGAATAAAGATTCCAAAATTCCTGGGGGTTCTTTGGATCTACTCAAATTTTCTTATCACACCCCTAGGGAATTCATCACGTAGGGTAACAAGGTGTCCTTGGGAGGCCCCAGCAGAAGGTCAGCCTGCTGAAGAAATGAAAGAGCTACCAAACAGTTCTAGAGCTTCCCTGCCAAGCACTTGTCTCTCCAGTCTTCTCACAGAGGTGCTCCTCGTAGCCTGGCAACCGCCCCCCCAGGCCCCCTGTCATGCTTCCGTACTGATGTGCAGCAGCGCCAGCTATGAGAAGTCTTGGGAGGATACAGAATACAAAGTGGACAGGACTGAACAGCGGATTCCTTCTCCACCCAGTTCTCTCCTGCCACAACACGGCAGCCCCATCACCCCGTGAGTTATGGGGTCAGCCTCAGTGTCTCCTCTCCTCTAGGCATGAGGAGGAAGGGTGGTCCCAGACCTTTCTCTCTTCATCTGGGTACTGGAAAACCAGGTGAAGATGGTTAGGAAGTCTCCCACATTAAGGGAGACCTGGGACTATGACTCCCAGCAGGATGAGAACGGCTGTCGGCTGGCCACTGCTGCTGCTGCCGAGATGGACTCAGTCAGAGATCTGCTCGCTGCCCTCCCCCATTCTGAGGTCACAATGAACTTCTAAAACTCTGACTCTCAGAAAGGGCCCTACGTGATGCAACTTACTTTACACAGACTACTTTTCTCCACGCCTGAGACAAAGGGATGATAGGGAAGAAAGACCTCCAAGTCAGGAGGCCAAACTGCATTCACCTTATCTACACCTCTCGCCTCCCTCAATCATCTTCAGCCACCCTCAGGCTCTAGGCACCAGCTGGCACCGATTTACGAGGCCTTTGAGGCATGGACTGGTCAGAAGCACTCGAGAGGGTGGCTAAGTTTGAGAAATGCTAGGAGACTGCACTCAGGAGACTGCCCAAGACAACTGACTCACGGGTCCATTCAGACCTTGAGGCCCAAGGCCTCTATGAAAGTGTTTTCAGAGCTTTAGTGCCCATGGAGACAAATGAAAATACCTTATATTTGCTCAGTAAGTCCCCAAGCCATATCTCCAAACCAAGGGCAAAATGAGAAAGAAAAAAAAAAATGGGATGAGGGATACAGAAATGTCATCTCTAGAGCTCTGACCAGATTCAGACAAGGTTGAGAGCAAAAAGCAAGCTTCAGAAGACCTCAGTGAGTCCTAGAAAAGCGGACTCCTTGAGCCACCACCAGGAGCAGTTCTATCACTGCCAGGGAAAGTGGGGGAGCCCAGCAGACAGAAGCACCAACAACCCCAACACCTCTTCTTTTAGTCCCAATTTTTAACAGTATCTTTTATTTGTCTCGTGAAGTCTATACCTCTGATTGAGTTGATGTTCACTGCTCTTTTTAAAATTTATTTTTAATGAAGGATAATTGCTTTATAATATTGTGTTGGTTTCTGCCAATACATCGACATGAATCAGCCATAGATATACATGTTTCCTTCCTCTTGAGCCTCCCTCCCACCCCTCTAGGTTGTCACAGAGTCCCAGTTTGAGTTCCCTGAGTCACATAGCAAATTTCCACTGGCTCTCTATTTTATATACGGTAGCCAATACCTCTTCTGAGTCAACACGACAACTTGCAATGACCAATTCATGAATGAGATGCAATAGCTTAGAAAATATTAATACTAAAGTGAGTCCTTCCCAAAGTCTCTGCTTAGGTTTAGAATTCATCATTGGATTATCTTAAAGGCTGGGACTTTAGTAAAAGGGAAAAACTGAGCTGTGAAATAGTGAGGAGGGAAGTGAGCATAGCCTGAATGAGCCGGCAGCAAGAGACAGCCAGTTTCTGGGACATGGAACAGACTGAGTTCTAAAGGGCTGCTGTGATTAACACACTGAAGAATTCTAGGACACACTTTTTTATGCTACAGTCAAGTTAGATCATAGAGTATGACAGTGTCCCCTAATTCCTTGCAGTGCACAACCTGCACAAAAGCATACGTGATGCACCCAGGAGGGATACAGACACACCACTTATAAAGTTCTGAGCAGATTCTGACTCCGTGGCTCTGTTGGTTTAGGATTACATATTTGCTGCAGTTAAGCTGCAGCTCAGGCATAGCCACGGTAGAAGAGACAGGAAACATGATCCATTCCAACAAACTCCATTATGACTGCCTCAAGTGACCACATGGTTCTACTAGAGTCTTCTCCTCCAGTAGAAGCTTTAAACCCTCCATCCTCTGGTCTAAAAGGAAGAAATGCCAAAACCCAGGGGCAGGCCCAGTCACAGGCACACAAAAAAGCAAGAATAGGCTTAAATGCTCTGAAACTGGGAGGCTGAACTTTGAAAAATAAAGACGAAGTATGGCTCCTAGGGAGCAAGCACTTTAAGTACTAACTTGTGCCATGATTTCTCCTAAAAATGAATGACACACTTTGTCATGAAAGATGAGAGTTCTCTTTTATGTAGTAGGTGCTGGACATAATTACAGTTCTCAAAGATAAAATAAAACCAAACAAACATACACACTTGAAAACTGGGTGTGTGTGGCAGAAGCAGGAAGTGAAAGGCATTTTAAAACTTGTTTAGAAGTATTGAGTATTCAGATACATTGAACGTCAGGCCCACTGGAAAGTAAAAGAATTACACTGCTCATAGGTACAGACTAGCCACTGAACAAGAGGGTGGCTCCTGAGACGGAGCAGATGACTCAGAAAGGCTCCCTGGTGGCGCAGTGCTAAAGAATCCACCTGCCAACGCAGGAGACATGGGTTCGATCCCTGATCTGGGAAGATCCCACGTGCCGCAGAGCCACTGTTGAGCCTGTGCTCTGGAACCTGGGAGCAGCAACTACTGAACCCGGTGCCCCAGGGCCGGTGCTTCACAACAAGAGAAGCCACCACCGTGAGAAGCCTGCACATTGCAGCTAGAGAGTAGGCCCGACTCACTGCAGTTAGAGACAAGCCCAAGTGCAGCAATGGAGACCCAACACAGCCAAAAAAAATGAGTAAAATAAAGTCTCATAGGGACCCTTCAGTCCTCCACTGAAGACAGACAAAAGTTCACAACTCCTCACCTACCATTCCAAAACCCAAAAACTCTGAAAACTGAAAAATTTTAAATAACTCATTAGGCAGCACAACAAACCCTAGCTCATTTGGTGACAAAAACAAAATGTGATTTACATGAAATCATCTGTAGTCTATTCATCTTTGTGTGAATATTCTTACATTAAACTGCTGTAGTAATGAGTTTCGGCATGGGATGGTGACTCTAGCCCCCTTTAGAGGCTAGATATAGGTACCATATTACCTTTCTAAAAAATTCCAAATTTTTAAAACACATCTGGTTCCCAGGGCTTCAGACAAGGGGGAACGTTTATAAATATATAACAGGGTGACATAAGAGCTCTGCAAAGATTACTAAAGGCCCAAGAGAGTCAAATTATGTCCTGGTGGTTTCAATCTAACCAGCTTCCTACCCAAACCAGAAGACAGCATTGTGTTAGAAATGGGAAGCCTGTTATCACAGGGTCCCTACCACATGTTAAATCTTGGTTTCCTACCTTCACATATTCCAGAGTTGGGTCCAGAAGATGCTGATCCCTGAAAAGAAAAAATATAAACATGAGAACAATTGGGAACAATTCATTCTCACACTGGGTACAATGTATATAACATTATTTCACCCTATTCATTCACATTATTAAGATGAGTCCACCTCCCAGACAATATCCACAGCAAGGAAGTTAGAAAAGACATGTCTTTTCTTGTAAAATTCAAGCCCCAAATATTAGACTATTTATGGATAGCAATTCTAGAGTCACTAAAGCATAAAAATCAGCCTCAAAGTCTGAGGTAAAGAGCTGTGAGGAGTAACAGAGACACCAATAAAGCAGGCCCTGCAGCCTTTGGACCAGACGGTTGTGCCACACCCACTCTGACGGAAAACAGCAGCTCAGGCAGGGAGAACAGCTGCCCAAGGTCACCCAGCACCCAGGTAGGTGACTTTTGAACCCAGCTCTGCTTCTAAATCCCCCTTCTCTTTTTCTGTCAAGCTGAGCAACTCATTCTAATTTTCTTTGGTATCCCAGTGGTTTTTCTCTCCCCTTCTAAGGTCTGCTCAGATCTATTATAATACTATCAGGATTAACCAGACAAGTAAAAGTAAACAGCAGCAGTGTCACTGAGGAGGCTGATTTATTATAGTGGAAGAGGATCTTAGGCAAAGAGAGGGAGGGGGACACGTGAGAGCTGATGCTTCCAATACTGGCAGAGTTATAGCGAAGTGCCCACCGTAACACAGGATGGGAAAAGACAGCTGCCTTTAGAGACTTAGACTTCAGAAAATCAACACATTCCCCTGCAGAGATGATATCACTTTTTAAAGAAGAGTGGCTCTGAAGCTGGTGGGAGGAGTCTTCTCAGGCAGGCGGGAGGTTGTCAGTACATCTACAGAAAGCACATGGCCCTCAGGAGGTGGGGGATCCCCACCCACAGGCAGCCGCCTCCGCCTCCACAAGAATGAGCTCAAGGCCAGACCCTTGGGGGCTTGGAACTTCCCTCTATGGAGAGACCCCCGGGAGACTGCAGCACTTCTCTCCTGAAAGGGGGCAGCAGGACCCCTGCTGGGACACAAGGAGTGGCTCCCACAGCTCAGGGGCAGCCCATCTTGTTGTAAAATGGGCCCCATCCTCAGAGCTGTTCCTGGACTGGTCTGTCCACTGAGGGCTGCACACAGAGGCAGGCTGGCTTCGGAGGCGCTCCTCTGGGCTGTGTGAGCAGATGAGCTCCTGGAATGAGTCCCTTTGTAAGGCCAAAGTATCTGAGAAGGGCTTAAGCTCAGAGTCCCTGGTGCACTTCCATCAAAGAGGGGTATAAATCAGTCCTTCAGAGCCTTAAAACCAAGCATACTCCTTGCCACTAAGCTTGTGTTTGTTTATCAGGCATCTTTTCCCAAAGCAGCCGAGTCTGTCTGCTGTGCTGGGTCATCACCTCTCCTTCTGCAGTCTGGACATCGAGTTGATGCTTCTAGGCTTTGTGACCATGAGACCACATGGCGAGGGACTATCAACTTTGTCAGCAGGGCTTTGGCCAAGCTCCCTTTTAAGTTCTCAAACTCCTGGGTTTCTACTGAAGTAACATTTTAGGCTTATAAGCATCCAGTCTCACGCTAATCATCCGGTATGGTGGTCTGGCTCTGGGAGTGCTGAAAGATGTTACAGCCACTTGGATGCTGTTTCTCATCTTTTTCAAGTATCTATTTTTAGGTATGTTCTAAAACGTCCATTATATACACTCATACATGTATGTCTTAATGCATGGATAACAGTGTAGGTGTGTGCTGTTTATAGCATTGATTTGGTCCTGGGAATCTCTCCACACTAAATAATTGAGGACTCTGAAAAATTTTGTTCATGTGGGTTATATCTACTGATTACTGATACTAGTAATTAAGCCTGAGAAATTTTCAAGGTGTTTGTTAATTCATACTTTAAAGGTAAATCCATTAAAATGTTTACATAAATAACATTTTTATGAAAAATGTGTTTTTATAGCAAAAATTTAGTGAGAATAGTGACACTGCCATATTTTTGCAGATCTTTTTAACATCTGGTTTACTAGAAGACAGGTGAATTCTCATATCTACTTCTGTATTCAAAATGTTGTGATATTTTGGTTGAAACAAATGAAGAAAATCTACCCTCGTGCAGTTATGTAATTGAAAAGGGAGGGATACTTTAATAGATTTTTCATATAATTATGGCTGTTCTACTTTAAGAACATACCAAACCTTGACAAGTAGTAGTTTCTTAAAGGTTAGCTGTGGACTCTGAAGCCATATCTCTTACTCTGTTCCATCTCTCCTGCACTTTGAATGGATCTTTTGTCCATGTCTGATTCTTTAACTACTATTCTGGAAAATATTGGTTCACTGAGTTATGCAGATCTGCCAAATTTTGACCCAATTCATTATAATGTAAAAAAAAAACACATTTGTTAATATGATCACTAATCTCATTAGAAGTTACTGCCTATAGGGAATTGTCAAGCTCATGGTGGAGGATTCCATGAGTCTTCTAAAATTTTAATTTTTCACTGGAATTTTTTCATTGGCAACTAACAAGGTCAAATATTTTCCCTGAGCTTCATTTCACTCATTTTGGAGGAAATAGCTGCCAAATACCAAGACCACATAGTCATGATCTGTAATTTTAACTCTTTTTTTAGGTGTTCGAAGGTCATTCTTTTAATAAATTCTTTTTAGAATTTTGCCCAGGATCTGCTCTTCTCACCAGATTTACCTGTAAAAATCCTTTTCCTTTTACCTTTCGAAAGCTGATTCCTCTCTCTCTTTTCTAGAGATGGACCTGAAAACTGAGCTCCTTCTATCAGGACAGACCCCTCAAGCTCTGTTGGGAAGGGGGTGCAGTAACCAACACGGATCAGGCTGGGCGCTGTGTCTGGGTGGTTCCTGAGGCAGCCCCAGCTGCAGTCCGTAGAGTCTCCATTCAGAGGAGGGGTCACCTCCAGGCAGGGTGGCCCTTGTGAGACAGGGCCACCTGTCTCACAGGTGAGACTGGGACCTGGGACACTTTACTGCAAGTGTTTGTACCCAGACAAATATCACCTGGGGCAACAGAATACAAAGAAACCATAAGGGACTAAAAATAACTGCATCCACCCATGGTTGGGGCAGGTCCTGAGCAGCACGATTCAAAAAGGCCAAAATTCAGCTGCCATTTCTGGGCTGCTGGGAGCAAAAGCAGCATTCTGCGCGCGCCCTCTGCACCCAACAGGACCAAGGGGGTTGGAAGACCATCTGCATCACCCTTCTAGCCCAACCCACCAGCCTTTCCTTCCCCTCATCCCATTTAAGGGACTAGCTCTCCCCCACTGGGGGCCGGCGAGCAAGGGCACCTGTTACTTGTTTTCACTCCCTGTTGCAGCATCACGAAGAACCCTGCCTGAAATTCTTGGCTGATCTCTTATCAGTTTCTATTGATTGAAGAGTCCAAGGACCCAGCTCGGTAATGTACTTGCTCTCCCTACCACCCTGCTTTCCTGCCCCGTGGCACCAGCACAGAGGAGCCTGGGGTGTTCTCCCAAGCATCCCCCCCAGGCTTGCATGGACTCCAGTGTTCCCATTTGATCCTCCACCACACACACTTCTCTTGGCAGAAGAGAAGGAAACAGGAGGTGCTGGTTAGGGATAAAAATTGATGTCTCCTCCTGACCCCACCCCCAAGTGAACCCTGCTAAGAGAGTTCTGTTCATTCTGTAAGCAGAACAGTGCGTGGGTGCTAAGTCGCCTCAGTTGTGTCCGACTCTTTGCAACTCTATGGACTGTAGACTGCCAGGCACCTCTGTCCATTGGGATTCTCCAGGCAAGAATACTGGAGTGCATTACCATCTCCAAGGGATCTTCCCAACCCAGGGATCAAACCTGTGTCTGCTGTGGTTCCTGCATTGCAGGCAGATTGCATTCTTCTGCTCACCCTTTTCAGAGAGGGAAGGGAGTGAAGACAAGGAGAATATGTTATAAATCCAAAAGCCTTAAAAATCACTGCCTTGAACCAAATTAAAAGTATGCTGGGTTGGCCAAAAGGTTCATCAGGGTTTTCTGTACCATCTTACAGAACTCAAGCAAACTTTTTAGCCAACCCAAATATTTTAATGCAGAAGTGCTGTGTCTCCTTTCTCAGCCAGCCTAACCCTAACTCTAATCCATCTAACCACAAAGAAGACATAAACTAGAAACATAGCAGTTGGCCCTGTAGTCCCAGCCTCTAATTGGAAATAGAATATCCAATTATTCACATAAGACTGTGCAGGAAACACTCCTTAAACCATATCTTTATACTCTCCAACAGAGTTCACTAGAAAACAAACAGAGAAACTTGGCAATATAAATGAAAAGCTTTTTTTAATCTTTTTTTTTTTGCTTATGCCAATTATGAATCCCCACCCATGTGAACCCATGATGTTGTGTGCATCTCTACCCCTGAGAGTCTGGTGGGCACCATGGGCCCTCTGCCAAGCAGGCTGCCCTGAAGAGCATCATCCACAGACCGCAGGAAAGCAGCAGGATGAAACCGGACTCTCCTGTTATTCTGTTCTTAAGTTTATTAAGTTTTAAATAACATCACTGTGTTTACTCTGGTTAAATCATTCTTTCCAGTGTCCCACTTTCTCCAGTTCATACTGAGGATGTCTCTCTGGGAGTCCCAGAAATGTTACACATATTTACTATTTTAGTTTGTTTCTCATCAGTAAACAGGTTAATAATTTCCTCTCTCTTAAAGGGACACTTGAGCTAGAAGTGTTTGCTATTTTGAGTTAAGAGGCTCTCCACCTTGAATACACAAACAGAATTTCACTGACATAGATCTTTTCTGAGCAGTTCAAATGCAGATGGAGATGGAAGTGCCCTATGTCTGTCTTAAATGAGAGGATGTTTTAAGTGAATGGATGTTTACTTATTTAAATATTATAGAATAAATTAATGGCTAACAGTGATGTCACACGAATGTTTGTTTGGATACAACATAAAAAGGAAATGCCTGTGATAACGTGATTATTTCATACAATGGAGGGATGTGAGA